TGTTCAGGAGACAAATGCCCAGCCATTGTACCAGTGCCCAGCACCCACTAACACTGCCTGTGGGGAAGGAAAGCCCAGAGGTATTATGAAGTCTGTTCCCTGGGATAGTTATAAATAGTGGGGTGACCTGCAAAGGAAAGCATATGTGACAAGGTAGCAGTAACCCTGCGGGTTACAAACATTTGACTCATTTGCACACTGTCCACAAAAAATATAAATAAATGGTCACTATGGGGGCGGGGGCATAGCTATTTCACACAGTCAGGTCTGCTTGTCCTCCCCTGAGCTGGCACAGTCAGTAGGCAGCTGGCTCATAGGTCCTGCCTGGAGCCAAAGTGCTCTGTTCATCAACAGTCTCCTGCCTTCTGCATCCTGCAGGGGGTCCATGGAAAGGCTCTGCCTTATTTCTACCTCTCCAGAAAGCCTGAAACCACAGACACTGGTGCCCCAAAGGGTCTTCCTGAAAACAGCAACACATGCTCCAACAGCCACCCCTCTATCCCCCAACTAAACCCTGAGCAGGACCTGGGCCCAGGAGGAGCAGACAGAGTCATTTACGGAGCCACTCTGCCCTCCTGCAGCTAGGACCTCCCTTCCCAGGAGGTCAGAGTATCAGACCTCGGCTGTTCCAGTGCTCAGAGGTAGAGTGCTTATCTGTAGTGTAAGGCCCTGATTACCATTCCCACTGCCCAGGACCAAAAATAAAACCTGAATCCATCATCATTCCAGCTGAAGGCTGGAGGGACTCCTCTGACCTCCAAGAGGCCAGCAAAGAGATAGGCAACAACTTGGCCCTGGCCGAAGGGGTATCATTCTCTGGAGTACATGACAGGAGCTGGGCTCCTCTGGGTGTACCCCCAGAATCTGTTCCCTCGAGGTGGCATCCCATTGTGTGGTCTGAAGAAGGAAACGTAACAAGAGTTCAGAAGAAGCCACGAGACAGCAGAAAGACTCCTGTGATCACGGCCCTGTCGCCCTAGCAACAGGCCAGGCAGGGGTATTAGAAAGGAGCGGGAGGGCAGAAAGTCTGGTAGGGCAGGCAGGAGGACCAGGAGGCTGGCAGGGCTGAAGCTCTGATGGATTTCTAGGCCATGGGTAAGGAAGTGGTTTGAGACAGTAGAAAATTCATGAAAACAGAGAGCTACCCTGCTGCCCGACACGTAACAGCCTTCTTCAAAACCAGCCACCACCTGAGGCCTGAAGTTCCTGAGAAACAAGGCCCATTGGTACCAGAAAGAAGCGCTGAGCTTGGCCATTAATAAGGTAGAAGATCAGGACATAGAAGAGGAGATCAGGCCAGGCCTGTCCCTAACTCTCTCTGGACCCAGTGGACAGAGAACTATTGGCCGCTTAAGGCAATAGGGCTGCGTGGGCCAAACTAGCTCCAGAAAAAAACAGAGAACACAAGAAAACACGTAAATCCTCATTGCTCTAACCCTGTTAGAGGAGCACTGATAGGTACAGACAGTATCACCAAGACTTCTAAACAGGGTCTCTAACCCTGGCCCTGTCCTGGTGTCTAAGTCTCCAGAGAGGAGACTTAAAAAAGATGAGGGGGGGGGAAATGGGGGAGAATGAGGAGGAGCAGCAGCAGGAGGAGGCAGAGAGGGTAAGGGAGGAAGGAACTAGACTCCCCATTCAGTTCTAAAAACAGCTCAGTTCCTTTAGGGGCCTGTTGGGGTCGTCTCAGCATCCCTCCACCATGTATGAATTCTGCCCTCTCTTTGGAGCCCCTGAGCCAAACCCTCCACATAGGCTGCTGCCTCCCCTGTCAGAAGAGCTTCCTTCCAGCGTCATCACCTACAACCGGTGAGGGTGGGAGTTGGGGAGCACTTTGTCCTGATTTCTCAGCCTCCTCACACTGGTTCCCTTTTGCAACAACTTTGAGTATGTTCAGGGTGCCTGCCCTATTCCCTTTCTTCTGGACACACAGGCCTGCATGGCAAATTTCTCCACTGGCAGAAGATATCAGCCAAGGATAGATGAATAGAAAGACCTCAGTTCTGTGAGATAAAGACAGATAACACCAGAAAGGGACAGTTCAGGCACAAAGGTTGTAGGCCATCAATCACTGGGAGGAAAAAAAAAAAACTGTCCCTCACAGGGGCCTTTAAGGAGGAACTGCCATTATAGGTCAGAATTTAAAAAAAAAAAAACCCCTCACAGGGGCCTTTAAGGAGGAACTGCCATTATAGGTCAGAATTGCCCAAACCAACTAGGATGCCTATGGTCACCCTGTCTGTCCTTTTGCCTTGAGAGTAGTCAGCGAAGTCCGGCAGGTACACAAGCTCTCCAGTAAAAGAGAGTCACTCATCTGTCTCCAGGGCCCCCTGAGTGTCTCTGAGTTCTCCTACTACATTTCCTCCTCAAGGCTGGGGAACTGACACCCCCACCCCACAGAGCAGACTCATGTTTGAAGACAGTCTCTAAGCAGACAGAACTTTTCCCCTCCATTCACAGATCTTAGTTTTCAACTAATTCTAGAGCCAGTTAGATGAAGAAAAGGCATCTCTCCTCTCGTCATCAGTCATCGTCATCAGGAACAGCCACAGGAGATCCCGTCTAGTGAGCAGGCACTATATGGAGGGACTTGAGTTCATTTAATTCAATCTCCCCACTTGGAAGCTGGGAAACAGGCTTTCAGAATGCTGTGACTTATCCAAAATCACGTAACTGGAAGTGGCAGATCTGAGATCCCAACTTTGTTCCCATTTTTTAACAGGATCCCATTTGTCTCCAGGGGAGGCAGGGATATTTGCCCCCTCGTGGTACACCCTGTTGTTCCAATTCCATCCCTAAGGTGCACACCACATCAGCTGAAGCCAGCAGGAGCTTCTCAGCTGCTGCCCCTCTGTGCCATCACCACCAGACAATCAATGACTTAGAAGTGGGGGAAGCCACACACCTCAAGTTATCTGCCCCTTCTGACATTTATAGCCTGTGTTTCTAGTGCTGGGAAAGCCCCTTCTGAGTACTCCATCAAGATGTCACCTGCCCCAGGCAGAGAATATAGCTCACTCCTGCCAGCGGCCACCCTCCCCACACATTCAGACAAATGATCCCATACTCAAAGTTGGGCACAGTCATTGACTTCTGGAAAAGCCATTTCCTTAAGAGCTCCAACCATAGAGAGCACATCGGTGTCACGCATCCCCTAGCACTTGGGCCTCTATGGGTTTCCCTTAGCCAGGGCTCCTGATTCCCAGGGGC